AGAATAATCTATGAGTTAAGTTTGCAAGAAGCAAGTGCTATCTATGGCTCCAACAGTCCTACTTCTATGTTGACCAGATACATGGACATCAGCTTTGGACTTGGTTCCAATATCTTTCCACTCACCCAGGGAGTAGATTGTCCTTATTTATCCAGTTACTTGGACTGGCACTTTTTTTATGATAGCCCATTACCTGTTAGCCGTAAAAAGTCAATCTGCATCTTTGAGCAGAATACTGAGTTACCCATACGAAGACATTATGAAAGCATCCAGTCTCCCTTTTATGGAGGGTTGGCAGATTCAAATCTGGTGTTCCGAACCGTATCTTCAGTTGGCAACTATGATTATGTCTGGGATTTTATTTTCCACCAAAATGGAGCTGTTGGTGTTCGAGTCCATGCCAGTGGGTACATTATGTCTGATTTTTACTTTGGTGATGCCGAAGACTTTGGCAACAGAGTCCAAGAAAAAGTGCTGGGATCAATTCATACCCATAATATTCATTTTAAGGTGGATTTGGATATCGGTGGTGAGTAGAAAAATGTTTTTCACTTGCATGGAAATTATAGGTTCTTTGTCTCAATTTGCTTTCTTAAAATTATTTTAATGATTGTAAGTGCTACAATGAAGAAAGAATAATATGCTTCCAACAGGGGTGGAACATAAGCATTGTTTTTGTAATGTTCTTTAACACGTTAGGTGATGAGATTGGTCAAAATCATTATTTTTTTCCTTTTTTCATAATTGTGTTTTTCTTTTTTTAATTTATTGGTCCTTCCATGGTTTATATGTCCATGGAATGAAGCTTTTTGTTACCCAGGGATATTTATTTCATTATTTGGCAATGGACATTTTCTCTTAATTGTAGTCAAATGTGGAGGACTATCTTTACACCCATTTAAAGTTACATTTGTAAATTGGTTTTCAGATGGAGTCAGAACTGGTGGGTGGTGTCAGGACAGAGGAATAAAGCTAAACATCTTTTAAAGAGTATCTTCTCACTCATTTGTTTGTAAGCTAGCAAAATGCAATGGCTAACTTGTTCTGATTTACACAGACTGCCCTAGGAGCTGTTGATACAGTTCTACAGAGGAATTATTGAGTCTGTTTATAATTGTCTAGTTTGCTACAGCAATCAAACAGTACAGATACAGACTTCAACAGATAGTTAGGACTGCAGGAAAAACAATTGCAACCTGCCTACCTTCCATTGAGGACCTGTATATTGCATGGGTCAAAAGGTAGACTGAAAAAATAGCGTATGTAAATATTTTTTATAAGTTTCATGTATTCCCTATTAAGAGTACACATTGTGTGGCCCTTGTTTAACCTCACTGACCTTCATTACTGAAAATTGGAAGTGTGGGTTTTTTGCATACTAGTGCAAAAACTATATAAAATGGTTATATAGTAACCATAAAATGGTAAGCCCAAAAATATGGTTACCATACCTTTAAGAATCAACGAAAGTCCACAAGACATGTTTTACAAATCTTCTCATGTGTGGCCTCACCAATCCTCTTACCAATATGGTCCTCAAATTACTCCAAAATATTAGCTACAATCCTGTGTCTTCAATAGTACACCCAGTCATGTGCTGCATGCTGGCAAAAACATTTGGATTTGAATGTCACAATGAGTTCCACAAAGGCTTGTTAAGTCTGGGGTGTTATGTGATAAGTGTTTGTTTGTTTGAATTCTGTTCTTCATTTTTTCTTTCTTCTAGGGCCAGTTTGGTCTCTCCACAAGTCAGTAAGCATTCCTGGTATACTGGCTTCAGTGCATTTTTATTGCTGTCCTTCATATATTTTTCCAATGCTCAATAGGTAGACAAAAATGCCAAATGCAATCTCAATATTTGGCTGACTATGTGACAAACTATAATAATAACAACATAGTGGTCCTGAATTAAATTCTAGGAAATTTTCCTTCTCAAGTAGAGATGATTAATAAGCAGAAAACGCCTCTTTGCTAATATACAAAGTTATTGCCATGAAAAGATGTGAGATTATGTTACCTAGCTTGCAAATATATATTTAAAAGATGGGAAACTAATATGTTCCCACCTCCTACATATTAGCAAATGAATAAAAGAGACTGAATAACCTCACAGAAAGCTTTATTTTAATAAACTATTACTTGAAATATTTCAGTTATGCCAAATCTTTAATTCAGCTTGATCATTTTGGTATTTCTTTGTTTATTAATATTTGCAGTGATTTTTTACACTGACATATTTGGATTATATTACGTCTGAAAAATTAATTATGCGTACACATAACAATTTCATCCCTTTGTCAGCAAACATTTATGGTATAAACAATTTGATTTTAAGAAACTGAAAATGCAACAAGAATGTTTTCCTTCATCAACAGCTACTCAAAGTACTGACTGTGCTACTTGTTTCCTTTCTGAGGTGTGGAAAATACCCTGGTTGCCAATGACATGGCTTTTGAGACTTTGCAGGCTCCTTGGAGGCCAGAAAATAAGATCCACCGAATGAAAATGGTTAGGGAAGTTTTGGACACCGAGAACAAAGCGGCATTCCGTCTCCATGATGACATGCCCAGATACATTTATCTGGCATCCAACTGCACCAATAAGTGGGGCCATGACCGTGGCTATCGGATCCAGACAGTTAGCTTTTCTGGAGACCATTTGCCAGAGTCAGATCCAATGGAGCCAGGCCTAAGCTGGGGTCGGTAAGTGACTGATTTCTAAGTGTCAAAGTAAAATGGATTCATCCATGGCTTTCGGTTTCAGCACCTTGAATAAGATAGGCAGGAATTACCAATTTTAATCTTAAAGAAATCTATATTACCATCTTTCTGCTTTCTTTAGCCATTTGTAGATGATGTGATACTCGATGTCGCTGTCCAAGGATATTCCCACACCTAGTCAGAGAAAGGCAGAGTGATGCTACCCAGCTGCCAACCTGTACTGTGATTGGATCATGTCCAGTCACAGTATGGGTTGGCAGCTGGACAAAATAACTCTGCCTTCCTTCGACCAGGTGTGAGAATGACCTTGGTTACCAAGAGAAAATATGTTGTTTTGTTTTGTTGATAATAATCAATAAACCTCAATCTCTGCAATTCTTCTTGTTTTGCCTTAAAAGTTATAAACTAGCTGTTACCAAGAGGAAAGAAAATGAACCTTTCAGCACCACTGTCTACAATCAGATTGACCCATGGAATCCGCCCGTGGCTTTTGCTGACTTCATAAACAATGAGGATATTGTCAATGAGGTAAGTGATGATGAACTCCACCTAGCACTGAAGCACCTTATTATCCCACAACCTGGTTACTGTCCAAATGCATTGGAATTGAAGTCAAACATATTTGGAAGACATCAGAATAGAAAGATAATCTGTTGGACTGTCACCTGAAGCTTACTACGGAAGTAGGCTAATGCTGCTAAAGGTTTTAGAGGAACATTCCCTTAGGGAAAAAATAGACATTCAAATGTCTGCTCAGAGGACAACCTACATTTTCCTGCATCAGGCCTCAGTTTTCCTGTTTGCATTCTTGTTAGCTGATGTAATGGGACCTTGGAAAATACACTGAGCCAAACTTGCATGCATGGGATTTATGCCTTACTGTTTGCATTTGTTTTTTAAGGGCTTTTTAATACCGTGACTGATAAAATTTTGCAGAATGGATCAAAGGTCTTTGCTAACAATTTTGTGCTCCCAGTTTTCCATTTCTACATATCCCAAATTCAGAGTAGGCAAACATAAAATTATGCTGTCAGATTATCCCAGATTTTACTACATCTGCTGCTTTAATGAATAAACTTGGTTTCTCTGAATCTGCTTTTATATCATTTTCTATTTAGTAGATCTTGTATCTTAGATACCACAATGATATTGTCCCCTTTCCTTTCCTAGGATCTGGTTGCCTGGATCAATGCTGGTTTTCTCCATATTCCACATGCTGAGGATATACCCAATACTGCAACCCTTGGGAATGTGGTTGGCTTCTTCTTGAGACCCTACAATTATTTTGATGATGACCCTTCCATGTATTCTCCAGATAGTGTTTATTTCCACCACCTGCAGGACCCGACTTCCTGTGCGGTGAACCAACTTGCATGTCTGGCAAAAATAACTTCATGTTTGCCCATTTTTCCTTCTTTCACTTATGAGGGTTTTCAAAACATGACAATTTTCTAATGCCTTCTTTTTTACAGGTGACTTGGAAATTGGGAACAAACAATGAATGTTTATTATAGGTGTTAATACTGAGGTGTTACTTTTCTCACTGGTCTTTTACAATGTTTCTTTTCTCTATTCTCTTCTTCTTCTGCAGCATTAATGATTATTTTTGCTGCATTATTAGATCACTATGTTCTTTTATTATCTGGGGGAATACCTGTGTTGAAGTTGTATTTTGCAGCTGGTTATTTGGTTTGATGAAAGAGTGGATTTTTCTAAGAGATAGAAGACTTTTGGAGTTAGAAGGATGCAACCTGAGCTTTGGATTGCATGGTAACATAAAAATAGAGCTAATACAGATGAAAAGGGGTTAGGTGTACCATTATGAGAATATGGAACAAATAGAAGTCCAGGTTGTGCTCAAAACAACTTTTTTCAGTGTAAGAAGCATTTTATGGATGAGAATTGATAAACACAAAAGTCTAACTGGTTGTGAAATAGTAGTTTGTTAATAGGAATGTAAGATAAAAATAAAAGAAGATCTAGTGGCAGAAATATACACTTGGTAATGATTTTCATTTTAACTATAAAAATTTATAGTAGTTAAAATAATTCACATTTTTGAACAATGTTAAACTGAGTTTTGAATGGAATTGTCTATAAACAGTGAACATGTTATTGCTAAAATGTATAAACATGAACATTTAAAACAAACGTAGAACAAGGAAAAGAATGTATGCAGAGTGGGCTAAAATCTTGGTTATAATATATAGATGGGATAATGAGAAAATTTGGGGTTGAAAGGTCTGAAATTTATATACATAGTACATTATAATTTTAAGGGGAATTTTTATAAAATAATGTAACTTTGGTTTATTTCACCAGCGAAATTGTCTAGAATGTCTGAATTTATGTTGGAAATGTGAACAACAAAAAGGACCTTGTTTGGCAGACTTGCAAAAAATCCAGAAAGTTTTGGATTTAGATAGATGCATTAATTCCAAGGATTTTAAAGATTAACATACAATTGAAACTAAAGGATTTGCGAGGGAATTGATAGACAAACTGTTGGAAAAAATTCATGGAACATTGTTTTTATACATAACATTTACTGCAAGATTATGCTACTTGCAAAGAAGAAAAGATTCAGTCTCTCATAATGGAGGAATGATTTTGTCGCTCTCACCCTCGATCTCCTTGCCCTCTCCCTCAGGATTATCACTCTCACCCTTGAAATTATCGTCCTCATCCTCCAGATTGTCGCCCTTGCCCTTGAGTTTGTTGCCCTCACATTCGATCTCCTTGCCCCCTCCCTCGATGTTGCTGCTCTCACCCTCAAGACTGTCACCCTAACACTTAATCTTGTCGCCCTCACCCTCAAGATCGTAATCCTCAAGATCATCACCTTCACTCTTGAGATTGTCTCCTTCATCTTCGAGATTGTTGCCGTCACTCTCAAGATCGTTGTCCTCACCCTCAATGTTGTTGTCCTCATCCTAGCTCTCATCATCCTCACCCTTCAGATTGTCGCTTCACCCTCGATCTCATCGCCCTCACCCTCAATCTCATTGCCCTCACCTTCGAGATCATTGCCCTCACTCTCGAAATCATTGCCCTCACCCTCTAGATCATCACCCTCACTCTTGGGATTGTTGCCCTCACCCTCTATTTAATTTGATACCTTTCTGTCTGACTTTGTTTTCTTGATTAAAATTGCCAAAATATGTAGGGAATAAAAGCTTATCTCTTGTAATCTTCTATAACAATTTGGGTGTTGTACTTTTTTAATTAAAGATATTTATTTAAAGCTGGAGTGTGAATAAACTTTAATTCAAGTACAATATGCACTCGAAATAGCATCAGTGGCTACTCAGCAAAACATTATGGCCTCAAGCTCATAGTAATTATGTACATTTCTGAGCATTGTAACTATGAAGTGATTCTGGAATCAGCACTTTTGAAAACTTGAAGGTTTCAACTAACCTGAACTGCTGCCTATATAATTATGTATAAATCTTTTGCTTTTCAGATGTATTTGGAGGCCAAGGCTAATTTGAGGCCAGAAGAACATTAAAAAATATTTACACATTATTTCCCCACCCCACCCCCACCCCTTTAAATTCAATTAAAAAATAATTTAAATTTAAAAAATGCTATCAGTAAGGGATAGTTAATTATATCAGTCTATTTCTTCAATTAAAAATAATAATTACAAGTGCTTGAGTTGATAAAAGAGAATAGTTATTGATCGTCCCTCATATAAAAAATCTGACCGTAATTTATTTTATAAATCAAGTAGGTTCAATGTCTTGGATTGGATCCTCTCAGGTATAGTGCTTTCAGATGGGCTATGCTTCAATTCTTACAACAGCAAAATTAACAGGGCCTGACACCTAGTGTCATCTCTTTAAAAGTATTCACTGAAATTTGTCATCAGGAAATAGTGAATAGTTTCTCTGAACTTGAGGGGGTAGGAAAAATTTTCCCTCAAAGATCATGTCCTTAAACAATGGCTACCTGGGTCAGGAGTTTCTCCATGCTCTTGTTTCTAGTCCAGCAAGATGCAACGGCTAGCCTGAATTAATTTGAAGATTTAGATGAAGACCTGAAAAAGATGCATGAAACTTTGCCACATATTATTCATATATTTGCCACAGGGTGGAGCTACATACAAACCTAGCATTTATCAACAAACATTTCATAATATTTCTTGGGCTAATTTCTCTTTCTTTCTCTCTCTCTGGGACAGAGACACATTCTCTTTGTCTTATTATTTTTAGCACTGACTCATTTTAAGTGCTGCTGCTTTCCAAATGATGATCCCATAAGACATTTTTCTAAGTACAAAAAGTGGAAGGTGTGAAAGTATATCTAAACATTCCTTTCATGAAACCCCCGTAATTCCAGAAAGAGTGACATACATCATGTAGACCTTTGGGGTGGGTGGGTGGGGGCTGCCTCCACTGATCTTCGTTGCTGAAAATTGATAGGTTTTTTTTAGTTTTTTATATGAAAATAAATATTTTTATTGCATGCCAATGAAGCACATTCATGAAAATTGTAGCATAAGCCTTAAAATAGGTTTACCACAACTTTAATGAGCAACAAAAGTCCTCAAAACTCTTTAAAAATCAGGAAAACTTTCCTCATGACTGGCCTAACCAATCTCCCACCCAATGTGATCCTCATATTACTCCCAAATATTATGGACATTCCTTAGGCTCCAGGAGATCACTTACTCATGGGTTTGTAATTGGTTTAATTACAAATTAGCAAATAAAGTAGAATGCATAATCTCACTCAACAGTTTGTCCTAATAAATGATAATCTGAAGCGTTACAGTTATGCCAAACCTCTAATAAAGTTTTATCATTTTTCTTTTAAGTCATGTTCAGATCCTTTATTTCATGAATGAACTGCTGTTTAGCAATAATTACAAAGTTTGTTTTCTCATATTGTGTTGATATTCAGTCTGAAAAATTAATTACCCATACTCTTATCACAATTTTATCTCTCTGTCAGAAAAGATATAGGGTAGATACAATTTTGATTTTAAGAAATTGAAAATGCAACAGGAGTGGTCTGATCCATCGCAAGTTGCTCAAGTACCAATTGTACTTATTTTATTTATGAGATATGATACCCTAATTGGCAATCACATGGCTTTTGAGAACTTGCAGGCCTTTTGGAGTCCAGAGCTGTAAGATTCATTGAATGGAAACGTGTTGGACAGTGAGACCAATGCTTCCTTCTGAGGTGTAAAAAAATACTCTGATTGGAAATGACATGACTTTTGAGACCATGCAGGCCCATTGGAGTCCAGTGCATAAGCGCCATCAAATGAAAATGGTTAGGAAAGTTTTGGACACCGAGAAGAAAGCAGCATTCCATCTCCATTATGATATGCCCAGATACATTTATTTTGTGATCAACCGCACCAACAAGCGGGGCCACGAGCATGGCTATTGTATCCAGTTAATCAGCTTTTCTGCTAGAGTCGGATCCAATAGAGTTAGGCCTCAGATGGGTTGATAAGTGATTGATATCTAACTGTAGAAGAAAAATAGATTCACTCATGTCTTTGGGTTTCAGGACCGTGAATAAGATAGATAGAAATCTATACAACTTTCTCTCTGCTTTCTTTAGGCTCAGTTTTAGGGGATATGATACTGAAAGTGTTTACATGCCTGGATAAAGATTGGTGGCATTCAGTTGGAAGAATAGTTAAAAGACTTTTCATGGTACAATGCTCCCTTTTTGGGAAATTATATTCAATCTCAAGAACTCTTCTTCAACTTGACCTAAGACAAACCCTAAGGATTATTAGACGTTGTTTCCTTTTCCCCCCAAAGTGTTCTAAAAAGGCCGAGGAAATCCTGAACCAGATCAATTTTGAGATGTATGGGAATAAATTTAAATTTACAGAAATAAAATTGAGGGGGTGACTTTTAGTAAATTTATGCAATATAAATTATAAGTTAAAAACCATTTTAGCTTATTCTCTTATGGATATTCAACAACCATGTCTGGAGTATACAAATCTGGTTATTGGTGGCCATACATAGGTTACAGCCTTATTTCTGTAATACACTCTACAAGTTTGCTTCAGAAACACTGATGGTTTTGGTATGTCTACCAAATTGGCCAAATTCAATGAATCTGTCAACCCTCCTGGGAAAGCCAAACAGGAAATAACAACTAGAGGTACTAATTATACTTTATTAGAAGACTATGTTAAAAGAATCTGGCAGGCCTGAAAGTACAAAGTTCCTACCACCACTTTTAATTGCTTGATCCATTTGGGCAAGGTAACTTTTTCTGACAGTTAAGCCACATTGGGGTTCTTGCCTTTTTTGTCAGATTGCAAGAGATTGCAGAATCTCTTCCTTTCTTTCCCCAAGGCCATTCTCATAACCCATTACAGAATCTGAACATGTGATTGTACATTTGTATTCTTGTACTTCTGGACTTTATATTTTTCAGGACTTACATTTCTTTCTATCTAGCTGAAATCCAGG